CTATTACTAAAACATTAATTCCTTGTTGCTGCTCTTTCTCTGGGAGCAGTGAAATGAAAATGATGTCCGGAAAGGAACTGGACTCAAACGGCTGCTGGTTGGGAAATGGGAGCCAGTGTGGTCTGGTAAAAAGGGAGCTGGGCTGAGAGACAAGAGCTCGGGGATCTGTTCTGGGCTCTGCTGCTGACTTTCCCAGTGATTTTAGGTGAGTCACTTCCCCTCTCTGTGCCTTTCTTTCTTCTCTTTGCCTTCCTTCATTTAGTCTGATCGGTCACTGTTAAATGCACCAGAATCACTTTACAGACAGTCAGAGTCAACTGCCTCTGGAGTATTTATGGACAGAGCACCACCAGCAGGGCTCAACATCCCCCCAAACGGCTAGGCAGATAAAGGCAGGAGTGATTTAGTGCTGCTCTTTCTCCGATATCGTTGAAATCATACTAGTTTTGTGGCAGTGGCTGAGCTGGGCAGCTCCTGGGGTGGGAAATTTCTCAGCTCCCGGGTCGCTTTCCACTGTCCCTTCTATTGAAATATTTCCTAGATCCCCACGTGCTTCACTGGTTTCTATGTGAGGAAACCCCTTTTTCAAATGGGGTAAATTCTATTCTAATGTAAACTGGCATTTCTCTATTGACTTCAGTGGCGCGAGGCCGATTTACATCTGCTGGGGAGCTGCTCCCTGGTGTGGCTGAGACCATGTATATGATTGTCCATGGCGATGCTATTATCCCCACTCCAGAATAAAAGGTTCCCAGTGAATCACAGCTCCCAGTGTGTCTGACTCCGCTGAGAAGTGGTTCTTCTCATGGTTGTAGAGAACAGAGCCTAGAGAGGCCCAACAAACCGGCTACTGGGATAATGAGAAAACTGACACTGCAAAGAACACCTGGATTAACTCTGGCACCCGCCTCTGGGATATCCCCCTCTGACACCCTCTACTGAAATATCTCATAGATGCCCCCACTCGCATGCTTCTTTGTCTGCCATGTTAGGAAACTCTTTTTCAAGTGGTCCCAATTCTATTCTGGTATAAACTGCCACTACTCTATTGGCGTCGGTGGAGAAAGGCTGTCTTCCACATGCTGGGGACCTGCTCCAGTGTATAGTTAAGAGTGTGTTTGTCATTGTCCATGGTGATACTATTATCCCACGGCCCTGTGGAGCCGAATGTCGCGGAGGCAGGGAATACCAAGTTCCTGCCGGGACTGGGGCTGGGGCGGAATGGAGGGAGGGGGGGCAGGGAGATCCTCCCGGGGCCGGGTGGGGGAGGGAGGAGAGTGAGCTTCTGTGCCCCCCCCAAAAGGGGTCAAATATAAATTCCTGCGCATGCCCCTGCAAAGTGGCAAGTGATTCTTCAGATGGTTCTAAAGAACAGGCCCACGGAGATGGAACACACCGGCAACTAGTATTAGAGGGGAAATGAAACTGCAAAAAACTTCTGGATTAACTCCTGGATTAACCCCTTTGGGATTTAGGAACCCATTGCTCTGTTTTTTGTCCCAATCCTTGCACATCTGTTCAGGTTGTTCCAACTGACACTTCCTTCGGGTTTGGGCTTGCTAAGAGGTGCTGGGATAATATGAAACAGCCTGACAACAAAGCAAATGTGATTACTCACCCCAAGAAGGCTTCTAGCTAGTCTCCCAGAAGCCTGCAAGGAAATTGCTGGGAGTTAATTGCTGCTGCTCTTTCTTCAATGACATCAAAATTCCCTCCCATTGTCCATAGCTCAACCACACCACGGCTACACTAGCAGCGCCGTGTCAGTATGGTGATCCCAGCGTACTACTGCAGTGTTGTTGGTGTAGCTTATTCTAGCTGTCTCTGAGCAAAATGATCTCTATGGCAAATGCACGGTTATGCTGCTATGAATGTGTCTCCACTGGGGCCATTTTACAGCACAGCCATGTCAGTCAGAGGTCAAATATCTTCAGCCCCCAGAATGACACTGCTATGCCAGCAGAAGTCTGTAGTGTAGAGATGTCTCCAGACAGCTCTGTGATGGCCAACGTTCCCACTGCCCTTCTTCCTCTGTGCTGGGATTAACCTCCAGAGTTTGGCAGTTTCCTTACTGCTCGGGATAAGAATTTGAGCTGGTTGAAATATTTACCAATGAATTTTTTTCTAGACTGACCTACCGAATAACACAGCACAGAATCTCACCCAATGATTCCTGCATCTAGCCCAGAACTTCTGTTCTATTTAGAGCATACCTTTTCTGAACAGATCCCATCTAGATTTAAGGACTTTCAGTGATTAAGGCCCTATCTCTATTACCATTTTTCTTGGCACAGCTGTACCGCTGTAAGCTCTCTGGAGTAGATTGTGCTTCTTGTCTTTGGACTCCCCGGGCTCTCTCAGCTAGCCCAACCTCTGAGCCCACCTCCGGATGCGAATGGCCTTCCTATGTTTAATCTGATTTAAAGGTCCCAAACTAATGTAAAAGCCCCAAAAGGAGAGTAAATTCTGAATACTCACAGACAAATCACCTTCATGGCTTAAATCAGCCTAGAAGAAAAAAAAACTATTACTAAAACATTAATTACTTGTTGCTGCTCTTTCTCTGGGAGCAGAGGGTGTCTTTTGATCACACCCATCATGTTTGGCAATCTCATATGTGGTGCTTTCTGGCAAGAATGTAGAAATCACATCAGATACAAATTAAGACCCACAGCAGCAAAGACCAATGCTTAATTGTATGTTTTAAAAAAGCCAAAAGGGAGACATTCTTGTTACAGCATTTCATGTAGCATACCACACTAAGGGAATTAGAGTGAATGACAAATGGCCAAAGGAACTTAAGGTAACTAAGCCCTTTTGTACATAGTAGTATTACATATCTACGTAGTATGTGCTAAGTAAAGTTTGAGATATCCCATCCATGGAGCAGTTTTCTCTTTAAAAGTAAGATCTGTTAACCTGTAGTCAGTAACACAAAATGTCTTAAGACCCTATCAGTGTTTTTTAGTAGTTAGAGCAGGGGTGTGACAGTCAAAACTTGAATTCAGTTCCCACCTCTGTCACTGACTTCCCTTACACCACTTACACTCCCGCCACCAAAATGAGATTAATAATAATTAATTACTTCACAAGGGTGTTCTGTTGTTTAATTAACGTTTGGCACTTCAATATTTGATGATGAAAGGATCAGAAAGAGTTAATTGGGTATTCCTTTAATATCTGATATATAGAGCAACTGTCAGTTTATAACTATAAATGTATTTGTACAATGTATGGCTTGATGAAAAAGATATATAATGTTTTTCTTCAGCAGGTACTTTACTTCAAAAGAGAAAGTAGATCATTGAAATTGTTATACCAATAGAATAAAAACCAGCAGGATCTTATTAAGAGGGATAAGGCAAAGATGCCACATTTATTGTAAATATACTGATAAAGCAAAAGATAAAAGTAAACAATGTTGTTTGACTACTTATTTCTTATACACACACACACACATATATATATATAGAGAGAGAGGTTCATTCACACAATCATTCATTTAAGTTCTGTATAGGTGTTATAGTTACCAGCCTAGAAGTTGCTCATGCCAAGTCACTGGCCAGGTATCTTGGTCATGAGGATGGAGCTGAGTCTGTGTCAGATGCACCTGATGCTCCTGGAGGTTGGCAGCAGAACCAGAGACTCAAAGTCCTCAGTCTTGAGAGTCCATTCTTATAGGATTTAATTCCTATGTTAGTTTATGGGAGCTGTTTCATCCTGCTGTTGCTGACTCAATCAGCAGATGGCACCTTCTTGGTGGCTCCACACTGTCCAAAGTTTGTGTTTCTCATCCTTCCAGGTGATGGGGTGGATCCCAGTTTACCCTCAGGGGGTTGTCTGGTGGTCCTACTCGACACATTCTTCGGCCGATGGATACTCCCTTTCTAGGCTGGCACCTCCCTAACCATTCATGTATATCAAGCATTCATCAGCATACATTCCATATCTTAACCATATTTTAATTTACTGTCTCCACCACTTTCAGGGTGTGTGCTAATTCATTTGAGATTCCCGGCCCTTTAATCACAGAGGGTGGGGGTCTGTCCTAGGAGCCGTTGAATGAAGTGAAAGTCACTTAAGGGCTTATAGTGTTTGTTTACATTGTATCAATTACTTCAAGAACAAAGTCAATTAACTTGTTTGTAAGTTTTACATAGTAACAAAGTATCTTTCACAGGATAGATATAATCAATGGTTTCTACAGACAGTAGCTTACAAGTTTTAACAGAAGACCCAAGAGATTTTTGTACTTGGTGAAACTGTTGGATTTTAAAGTGTGGGGGACAAATTATGAGGGGGTCACTGTCACTTGGGGGAATCACTGTTAGTACCTTCTTTAATATCCCTACAAAATATTATCTGTAGTCAGTCCCTGGGGCACAGATGTTAAGCAATTTCTACAAGTCAAGGTCAGTCAAAGCAGAACCATAAAAAGAACCCAGATCTCCTGATTCGCCTGTTCTATCCTCCGCTCTCTAGCTACCTGTCATGTGATGAACTACACCTTCTGTGATGGACTACTTTTACTGAACCAGGGCTGACTGCAGACAGACACCAGAAATGCCGGCTGTTAGCCAAGCATAGGAAGCAGAACTCGGGATCTTCAGCTCCAAAAATAGGCCTCTGTCACTTGAGCACAAAGAGAATTACCACCAGTTCTCCCTAAACTTGGAGCTTTTATTTATCTTTTTGGGCTAGTCTCTAGAGAGGGCACATACTCATAAACAAATGGGCAGGGCAGGGGCAGGCAGGGATGCACACATATATAACAGCCACTACATCACCCCCTTTTTGTGAGTTAACACCTGGTTGTCATGGCAATTGCACCACAGCCTTCATTGTGACATCCTCTAGCCCAAGCAAAGCTATTGAGGCAATCAACAAAAGTCAGTGCTCAACTTGGCCTCAGAGAGAGACAGTTGGTGCCGTGCTATACTGTAGCAATTTTGAGTTTTTACTACATACAAGATTTGGCATTCAGACCTCAGAAGTAAGTGAGTTTTTCCATATACCCAATATAATAGAACTGTGTGAGTTTTTTTATGAATGGAGTTGTGGGGCCACAGGGGTTTCAGCCTAGTTCTCAGTGGGCATTAGATAGATTATTCCTGTAACTTTGAACCTAGATGATTCCAAATGAAAACAAAGCTAACAAAGAAAAGCCTGAAAGAATCTTAACCTAAATAGAACTTAATCAGTCTCTTAAACAGAGGGATATTGTATGAGATATGGGAACAGTTTTAAGGCCATCTTCAGCTGCAGAGTTCACCTCATTGTTTAATTAATTCCTTTGCCCTATCATTAATGAGATGAGTACCAACCTGAAAAACAGTCCTATCTTCACAAGTCAATAATAATGCTTTGTCTAGCCAGTGATCCTAAATATATATATATATATAGAGAGAGAGAGAGAGCACCAATCACCACAACATCTCTCTAGCCATCTATCAAAGTAGGGAAGTACTATTTACCTCTCACATAACACAAGAAAAAGGGGTCACCCAATGAAATTAATAGGCAGTAGATTTAAAACAAAATATATTAATGGAGATATCCTACCGCCTAGAACTGGAAGGGACCTTGAAAGGTCATCGAGTCCAGCCCCTTGCCTTCACTAGCAGAACCAAGTACTGATTTTGCCCCAGGTCCCTAAGTGGCCCCCTCAAGGATTGAACTCACAACGCTGGGTTTAGCAGGCCAATGCTCAAACCACTGAACTATCCCTCCCCTCTTCACACAATGCATAGTCAACCTGTGGAATTCATTGCCAAGGGATGTTGTGAAGACCAAAAGTATAACTGGGTTCAAAAAAGAATTAGATAAATTCATGGAGGGTAGATCCATCAGTCGCTATTAGTCAACATGGTCAGAGACTCAATCCCCATGCTCCAGGTATCCTAAACCTCTAGTGCTAGAAGCTGGGACTGTACAACACTTGAAATTGCCCAGTAATGTTCATTCCTTCTGAAGCATCTGCCACTGGTCACTTTCAGAAGACAAGAGACTCCCATTGTCTGATCATCTCTCTTTAAATGCATGGAAGATATCCCTAATGTCTAATATAAATTTCTCTATTTGTATTCAGTTAAGATCTCAGAACCCATTCGTGGAGGATGGAGTACCTCAGGTCAAGGGTGGATTCTTGGTAAGAAGATAAGAAAAGTTTTACATTGTACACACTGTACAGAGTGACAGAGTGTGTGTGTGTGTGTGTGTGTGTGTTGGGGGGGAGTGACAGGGGAAAAGGTCTGAGTTTGAGCCACATAGTGTAGCCAAAAAGCCTCAGAATACCATGTAGGCCACTGACGGCTTCACACATAATCCTGCAGGCAGCTCTGCTTAGTGTATAGTGTCGCATGTCTCCTTCTGAACTCCCTAACAGTTGAGTAGTTAAATGTCTGGGTTCCTCTCAGCGATCCCTTCTGTAAACGCTCCGGTGCGGGGGGGGTCGGCCCTCTCAGGGGCCGTCGGGAGCCAGGCCGACTCACTACACGGCCTGGATCAGTCTTCGGGTTCCGAAGGTCTCGGGGTTCCGAAGGTCTCGGGGTTCCGCCCCTCAGGCAGGGCTAAACAAAAGACACACTGCTGTTGCACGAGGCTCCAGCATTCCGTCGGGGCTGGGCCGCAAATCAGTCTAAGCTCCGGTTC